ATTCACACCCTGGTGGTGATGAGCTACGTTGTAATCACAGCTGCCCTGGGGCATACCGACAGAGAAGAGTCTGCTGTGCACAGGCGCCACCAGTCCCTCCGACCGCCACCAGCAGACAAGGTAAAAACAGCTCTGGCTGTGTTTAAAAAAGAACCAAGTAATGCAGTTGGAGTGTGTTTAGTGCTGGAGTAGTTAGATGTTTTTAGGAAATATTTGAATTAAATGAAAGTTTCACCAACTGAGTGAACGCTTCATACTTTTCTAAACTATATTTAAAATTAGAACTAGACCCAGAGCGTGTTTTCATCGTAATATTTTGACTGATTGATTTTTATTGATTAGAATTCAAATATCTCAATGAATACAGAATAAAAATTACCACAAAGCAAGAAACACGAAACAAGGCTAATCAAAAGGTATTGACTGAAGCATTTGCTTATTACACCAACACTTTTAACAAATATCTTTTTGCATGCAGCTCCTGTAGCCGACAAAGGAGCTATAGTAATAAATAACATTATTGATATAAACTATTTTATACATTTATCTAACAAACAAGTGTCAAGTTTGATCTATAGCTAACCTTTCAGCTATCATTGTCATTTAATTGAAGATTTTGACCAGAAAAATAGTTGAAAACTCCAGTTTGAATTATGAAAGAAAATGTTCACGTCTAACACATATACGAAATGACATTATAAAAATGTTGTTAAAATTTAAAAAAGACAACACTCTTACTACTTTTATCTTGAAATATCTTAAATATGCAGAAACTCTGAAATTGCATCAAACATAGGAACTACATTTCCCATAACCAATCATTACTGGTACTTGATTGTGATTGGGTTTAGCCCGGTCAAACCTACCCGTACACGTCTGTGAGTGGTTAGAATATCCTGTCAATCAACCTGGAACATCTGGACCAATCACCAACGGAGCTTTTCTTCAATAGGCGGGACATCGTTTCCTCACCCAGCAGGATTGTTTCCCGGTCGCTGTTAACAATTTGCTGCCTGTGAATTTCCTCCGTTTTTTATTCCACACACCCCCCCCGGCGGTGTTTTTACCGAGGGGATTTCCGTGCGTGTACGGGGAGGATGAAGTCGAGTCGACGCTTAGCGCCGCGTTGAACGGCGAATGTATGGTGGTGCTCCGTGTCCGTCCGCCTGGGGTTGCAGCGGTGTGGCCTCCAGCCGCGGCTGCGAATTACCTTCATTTCTCAGCGTCGCCTTGCTCTGTTTGTTTTATAGAGATGGCGGTGAGGGGGACACTGTAAACTAAATGACTGTCAGAAACATCGCCTCCATTTGTAATATGGTGAGTAACTCTAATCAGTGCGCTGCCATTGATTTGCCTACAGTGGCGCTGAACCTGATGGTGTTGTTGCCTCCCACCAGCTCTCCGCCGGTGTTGTGCCATAAATCGACTCGCTGCCAAAAAATGATTAGCAACTAAAGAAAGGAAGGGGGAAAAAATCAAATCGCTGGAGAATTGTTTATTTACATTTATACAACGTTTACATTCAATACAGGGCGCCATTTTACATTGTTTATTTATTTTTTATTATCAAGGCTGTAACATAAAGAAAGCCAGTTCTTACCACAAACCATCTTTCAATCGCAAATATTGCAAAAAGGATTAATATATCCTCATTGTGAACGTTTAAGACAAATAGCAACACTTAAAACAACTTCCGAACTGGAAAAACTAAGCTAATCATTTTTTGGCAGTGAGTCGATTTATGGCACAACACCGGCTCCCTAACCGGACGGGTGTGTCGGTGCTGAGGCTGGCTCAGGTAAGGGTTGTGCAGCCCGGGGGAGAGGAGACACTGGGCTTTCTATGGACCTGTCAGTTGTGATTGACAGGAAAGCAGCACAGCGCGTGCCCTGACAGTTTGTCGCGGTTGCATAACGTGGCTCTGCTGCAGAGAGCTGGTCTACATCCCGGAAGCACAGAGCAGAAACCACTAATCCGTGTTTACGTTGTGAAGAGTGGGAAAGAACAGACTTAATGCCTGCGTTAGGCCCTTGCTATATTTATACTGGACGCTGTCTAAAGCCTGCAGGACTCCTCTAGGCTGTGGACTGTACCCCTGCAGGAAGTTTCAGTACCAATGGATTTTTAGAGATAAGCAATATTAAGAGAATACAGGCCTTCCATACATGCAACACTTATGAGTAGTTTGATCGCTCAGTTGTTGGATGTCTTCTGACTTGCAGTCATTGGTAGAGGTGTGAACACGAGTCACATGACTTGGACTCGAGTCATTATTTAATGACTTCTGACTTCACTTGATAAAATCTAAAGACTTACACTTGACTCAGACTTGAACGCCAATGACTTGCGACTTGAATCGACTTGCATCTGTTGACTTGATGACTTGAGCATATTTGATATTTTAGCACAAAGTGGCATGACATGGACAAAAATCATAAATCATGCTTGGTTCTGGGTTGGATCTTGTACGGCTAAATGCAGCAGCACTTTGTTATAATCCGTTTCAGTTGCACTTTCTGCTTGTTTGAGCAAATAAATGAAGCTTTATTTCTGGAATTTATTATCGTCATTAAATTGAAGTTGGACAGATGACTTGAAAATTCAAACTTTTGGACTTGGACTTGGACTTCCATATCATTGACTTTGGACTCGACTTTGACTTGGACTTGCCTGGAAAGACTTGTAACTTGCACAGCAGTGACTTGGTCACACCTCTGGTCATTGGTACACCTTATCTCCAGGGTCAGACCTCATTTCCAAGGCGCTGGAAACAAAGGTTCTGATTAGAAATTGACTGATATGGGTTTTTATTGCTGATACCGATGCTGACACGTAAAGGTTACGGTCAGCCAATGGCTAAGATGAGCGGATTCTCATTGCCTACATCTAGACATTATATGGCTAATTTGCCTGCTAAAATGTGACATTGGATGCACAACTCCCCCTCCTCCACCTGTCACTGAGTGGATCCACCCATCTGCTCTAATAAAGAGGTGCAGTCAGGTCTATAAGTATTGGGACATGGACACAATGCTAACATGTTTGGCTCTAAACACCACAATGGATATCAAATGAAACGAACAAGATGTGCTTTAACTGCAGACTGTCAGCTTTTATTTGAGGGTATTTACATCCAAATCAGGTGAACGGTGTAGGAATTACAACAGTTTCATATGTGCCTCCCACTTGTTAAGGGACCGAAAGTAATGGGACAGAATAAGAACCATAAATCAAACTTATACTTTTCAATACTTGGTTGCAAATCCTTTGCAGTCTTTTACAGCCTGAAGTCTGGAACACGCAGACATCACCAGACGTTGGGATTCATCCCTGGTGATGCTCTGCCAGGCCTCTACTGCAACAGTCTTCAGGTCCTGCTTGTTCCTGGGGCGGTTTCCCTTCAGTTTTGTCTTCAGCAAGTGAAATGCACGCTCAGTCGGATTCAGGTCAGGTGACTGACTTGGCCATTGCAAAAAAGTCCACTTCTTTCCCTTCAAAAACTCTTTGGTTGCTTTTGCAGTATGCTTCGGGTCATTGTCCATCTGCACTGTGAAGTGTGTCCAATGAGTTCTGGGGCATTTGGCTGAATATGAGCAGATAATATATCCCGAAACACTTCAGAATTCATCGTGCTGCTTTTGTCAGCAGTATGTATGTATGTATGTATGTATGTATGTATGTATGTATGTATATATGTATGTATGTATGTACTGAATGTATGGAAAGTGTTTCCACTCTGCACCAGTGGTTGGTGGGAAACCACTATGTGCACGCTGACCCAGGTGATGGATAATCATGGTAATATTTCTAGCTCAGATTTCAGAATGTAGCCAGAACCACAAGGAAACATGTTAATGATCTGCTCTCAGCTTTAATAAATGTTTCCTACCTGTTGGTGGACTTTCACATCCACTTGAGCTTCTGTGTGTTTACCAGAATTTGCTGCTATTGTGAGAAGATCCAGTTTACAGATCTGCACGTGTTCCTGAGCGTCTCGGGCCAGAGGTGGTTGATCAGACAAAGGAGCATTCAGAGCAGGCTTTCACACAAAGCCATTACAAGTCAAAGCCTTCCTCAAACTAAACTGTCTGCTATTTTTGCTCGACAAAGCTGCGATTCATTTGGATAAGAGCTCCGAGCTCTGATAAGAGAAGGGCTTCTGACAGGAGATAAGTGGTGTGTCTCAGCCACCGGGAGCTAAACCCTCCTAACTTCTGACATGGCTCTGCCTCAGTTGGACCTCATCATTCATTTCCTTCATGTAAAAGATGTGACGTGTCATCCCAACAGAAGCTGACACTTTAGGGCGCTTCTTTACCTGTTGAAACAGTTTTTAACTGTTTTTCATCTGAGGGCAGCAGCTTATATTGATTTGGGTAAACAACAAGCACTAATGCTACATGAGAGTATGACGGTGACATTATATCTCATGTTTTGTTCTCTCAGGGCACCAATGCCTCTGCTCTGGAGAAAGACATTGGCCCGGAGCAGTTCCCCATCAATGAACACTACTTCGGATTGGTCAATGTGAGTAGCACCCGATCCTCTCGTGCATTAACATCACACGTTGCCAAATAACACTGGAGTCGTGTGTCAAAACAAAGAGCTGGCGGTGAGTCACGTCTGCTGTCCGACAGCTGGTATTGACGGTAACGGAGCTGTTTGTGGATCCGAGGATCTGTTCTGCTGCTTTGGTTTGGGTCAGATTCCACCAGCAGCTTGGTAATGAAACGTGAGTTCTAGTTTTCATGGTGTTTGTTTTTGTCCTGTCTTTTCTCAGTTTGGAAACACGTGTTACTGTAACTCGGTGCTGCAGGCGCTCTACTTCTGTCGGCCGTTCCGGGAGAACGTTCTGGCTTACAAAGCCCAGCAGAAGAAGAAGGAGAACCTGCTCACGTGTCTGGCTGACCTCTTCCACTCCATCGCCACGCAGAAGAAGAAAGTGGGTGTCATCCCCCCCAAGAAGTTCATCTCCCGGCTGCGGAAGGAGAACGGTGGGAGGAAACTTGACTCGTCAAAAGCATATGAACACACACGTTCTGCTTTTGTTTCCGTTTGGTTGTGGTTTCACCGGTTCCATCCTGCAGCCTGTTACACATGTTTGCTCGTAGCAATCAAAGGCTGAGATTCGTGGGTTTGTTTTGTACGTTAGCAGCAGCGTTGCCTTTAATGTGATCTGGATTTTGAGGTGAAGGGCAGGTGCATGTTGGTCCTTCAGAGCAGAGCTGACAAGAGTCTGACTGTTCTCTACCGTCCGCGGTGAGGAAGCTCATTATGTGAGTGAACAATGCGATCATTGTTGGGAGCCAGCTTTGGTCAGCTGCTTCATCCCTAGAGGTTTCTCTGACTTCTACATTCTCAGTTTTCCCCTCTCGCATACATTTACCTGCACAGTGAGTCTATCACATGGGAATGGCTATTCTCTCCTGTTGTCATGAGAGTTTAATGTTGGAAGTGGGCAAAAAGATGCATTTAGTTTCACAAGTGAGTACAATTCATTTTAATTTACGCGTTGTCTTCCATTCATCTGGGTCTGAGTTCTCAGGCTCACCTAAGCCACTTCTCTCAGCAGCTTCAGTGGGAAGCCAAGGCATTCCCAGTCCAGTTTAGATGTCCTGGGTTGGCTCTGGGTCCTCCTGACAGCAGCACATGCCTCCTCCAGGAGGTATCCTAACAAACTCAACTGACTCCTCTCAGTGAGGAGGAGCAGTGGCTCTACCTCAAGTACCTCCCAGATGCCTGAACTCACCACGTCACTAACCCAGCCTTTCCTCTGGATGCGTATATAGCATATAATGTAATGGGTGTGTTCTACCCAGCACACTCAACACACCACACACAGAAGGGATATTTCATAACCAGGTTAAAATATAAAACACTTGCTCTTTTCCAGATTGCAAGATAGAAAAAGAGAAGAAACAAGGAGTGTGCATGAAGGTGCGTGCCGATGAGCAGGGCAGGCGATTGCTTGGGGGTCCCTAGGTCACTAGGGGTCAGACCAAAGGTGTTGGACACAGGAAAGTAGTCTCCGAGACATGACAGTAGTGAGACACATGGGTGGCACCAGGTAGTAGCTAGGGGTTGCTAAAGCAACGGCACGTTTAGCCAAGCAACAGCTTAGCAACCCCTGCTCTTGAACCCCGCCCGCCACCACCCCAACCTCCCAGGGCTCTTCAGTCCGTGCCGATGGATGCTGGAGAGTATATGACTAGATATTATGTCCCGCTTTGTGTGGGACTCCCGCATTTTCATTACTTTTCGCTCGCACGGCAGGTTGAGAGTTCAAAGCTTGCACAAACTGCGTGGTGAAAGCTGTGGCTGTCAATTAAAACAGGAGGCGGGGCTTTAACCCAAGCAGAGGTGAGGCCTGCCGGACACTTGCTCCACCGGTCCCTCCAACCACCACCAGCAGGCCATGAACAGGTGATGACATGCTGTTTTTACTTGTTAAGCAGCTGGAAATCTGCACGTGACTTTTTTCTCTAGAACGTTTCTGGATGTTTTATACTGCTCCTGCGTTTGACTTCCTGTCTGACTCTATCTGAACTGCTGATGGAACTGGAAGCGTAGCATGTAAAAATAGTGTAAGCAATGCATCCCTATGCTTCCTGGGCACATCCTTAGATAAAATATGATTGGCGTAATTTCAATAGTGCCAACATCGGTAAGCTACTAGAGTCAGGGGTTGGTGAACCTGCAGGCAGGAACCATCAGACAATAAGAATAATAAGAATAAGAACAACTTTATTTATCCCGAGGGAAATTCTTGTGTCATGTACTTGCTCAAAGCAGTTGGAGAGACAAAGGAACAGGTGAAATAGAAATATGATATACAATATATTCATTAAAAAAATAAAAAAATAAAAAATAATTAATTAAATACATGACTGCATCCTTGTGGATAAGTAATTAAGCCGTCGGTGCAGGCGATTCACAAAAGTGATTAAAGTATTGTGTAAAAGAATATGGGTTTGTAGCAGCATATGATATGATGGGGGGATAAAAACATATTTACAATCAGAACTCTTGGGTAATATTGCACAGTCGGTGAGGGCACAGAATAACCAAGGTAATAGTATTTGGAGAATCACCTACAGCGTGAGGAAGAGTTAAACAGTCCTATTGCCACCGGTACGAAGGATTTCCTGTGGCGGTCAGTTCTGCATTTCGGGGCAATGAGTCTTTTGCTGCGTGTGCTTCGGTGGTCCATCATGTAGGCGTGCATGGGGTGGGAGGGGTTGTCCATGATAGAGAGAAGCTTTTTTAGCATTCTCCTCTCAGACACCTCCTCCAGGTTCTCCAGTCTAACACCCAGGACAGACCCAGCCCTTCTAATCAGCTTGTTCAGCCGGTTGGCATCTGCTATCTTCACCCCACTGCCCCAGCACACAGCAAACAAACAAAGAGATGCAAATTCTTCTGTAGCTCCTGTATTTGTGGGCGTATCAACAGGAACACAACCAAATGACTGGAACCGGAAACCTTCAACATTCTGAGACTTTGTGTATAATATCAAGGAAGGGGCTTCGGTTGTCTACAATCCAGGAGAATCTGATGTGTTGGATACTGTTCTCTGAGTTACTGACCTTCATCCAAGGCTATGCTGTAGTGTAAAATGTTATTGCAACATCAAGGTGTTCAGTGTGTTGTAAAGAGCTGCCCGAATCCCTTTAAATCAGACTGTTACATTCTAAGTGAAAGGCATCGATATCCTGATGTGATGGAATTGCTCTGCTCTCCATCCCCACACCTAGAACCAAAACATTAAAACACATGAAACGTGTCAGGTGCGTCATAATAGTGGAAGAAGATCATTTCAATAGCGCCAATAAAAATCACGAGGTGCTTCACAAAAACAAAAAATCTAAAAAAGAAAACGGTTTAAAATGTATTTAAAATGAGCAAAAAAATAGACAATTGTGATTTAAAAAATGTTAGGAAAGAGAGAGTGAACAGGAAAGAGGGAAATCAGTGGATCCTGAGGAAGGTGGAATAGGTGAGGAGAGCAGAATAAAGAGAGAGTGGTTAGGGTTAGCTAACCCTAACCCAGAAGGTCATTAGAGACCCTAAGAAGAGCTGTTTCAGTAGAATGAGCTCTACGAAAACCTGACTGGAAGCTATCATAGATGTTATGTTCATCAAGAGCAGCTGTGAGTTGTTTAGCCACAACCTTTTCCAAGATCTTAGAGATGAACGGAAGTTTAGAGATGGGTCTGAAGCTGCTATGGAGAGAGGGGTCGAGACTCGGTTTTTTAAGAAGCGGGTGGATTACAGCGTTCTTAAAGTAAAGCCTGGTTTATGCTTCTCCGTCAGCTCCGCAAGAGACAGACACGCACGGATTGACGGAAGCGTTTTGCTCTCATACTTCTCCGTCTCCTGGAGAGCGTTGCAAAGCAATTGCCCGGCAGGACCACAGAGGGCGTAGTGCTGTTCTATGGTATCCTGTCATGCATCGGTCCAAGTTAGTGTGTTTATATTGTGTTTTTTGTGTATGTAAGAGACTTTTAACACGGACATATTTGTCTCTCATTCTCCCACCTCTTCATGCGCTCCCCACCTCTAAACCCACGTTTCCTGTCATTTCCGTCCACAAATAAAACGCTTTCTGCACATCTTCTCACTCCTCCAGTCACGGGAGAATTATTAAACGTTCATATTTTTAGAGTTTTTTCGCGAGGTATTCTTCAAGCTTCTCCGTGTCTGCCGCTAGTTATCCTCGGCTCTCTTTGCAATGGCGGCGCTGTAAACAACAGTGGCGTCCTGACCAATCAAAAGCTTGCGTAATCCGTCTCGTTCGACTGATGTTTAAAAAAGTGGGCTCGACTCCATACGTACTTGCGTGTCTGCCGGAGCCCTACACAAGAACGGATAATGGCGTTGCGTGTCTCCGCACTGACGCAGACGGAGAAGCATAAATCAGGCTTAAGCAGGGACCTGACCAGAAACCAGAGAAGCATTAATTATAGAGAGCACGCTGGGACTGATGGACTGAAAAGCACTTTTAAACAAAGATGAAGGTAAGATGTGGAGGAGGCATGCAGAGGTCTTCATAGAGTTAACTAGTTTGGTTAACTCAGGCAAAGAAACAGGAGCAAAGCTATCTAGGATGATGGGCCTGGTTGGAGTCGGGAGAGGCAGTGATAAGGCTGAAGGAGAGATGCTAGATCTAACCTTATTGACTTTGTCCACAAAGAAAGACAGAAAGTTCTCACAGTCTGCAACAGAGTGGATGGAGGCTCTAGGAGAGGCAGGAGACACGATGCTGCTGATGGTGTTAAACAGCACCTTGGGGTTCCCTTTGCTCTGGGACACCAGGTTGGAGAAATAGGAAACCCTCGCGTCTCTGACTGCAGAGTTAAAGGATGTCAGAAGATCCTTTAGGTGCTGGAGATGGACGTGGAGATGGGTTTTCTTCCACAAACGCTCAATTTTTCTGCATTGGCGCTTCAGGCTGCGAAGGCTGTCATTAAACCAGGGAGTAGAGTTCACTGCAGGAACTGATCTGGTTCTGACAGAACAGATGCTGTCCAGAATGGAGAGGCAGTGCTCGTTAAACTGAGAAGTTAAGGAATCTGGGTCGTTATCAGAAGAACAGGGTGGATCAAAAGCAGCAGAAAAATTGCTAGCTGTGCTCTCATTAAGAAAACGAGAACTAATCATACAGCGAGCAGGAGGTGGGGATGCAGAAACTGACAAGTTAAAGAAAATGCAATGGTGATCTGAAATATAAACGTCCTCAGGACAAACACTGTCAGCATTTAGACTCAGGGTAAAAACAAGGTCTAGAGTGTGCCCCCTGGTGTGTGTGGGGCCAGAAACATGCTGGGTAAAGCTGAAGGAGTCCATAAGGCTGGAGAAATTCATGGCAAAGTGGTCTGAGGGATCATCAACATGGATGTTAAAGTCACCAACAATCACCAGTCTGGACAGTTTCACAGTGGAGGATAGAAAGTCACTAAACTCCTGAAGGAAAGAACTGTTTGGACCAGGTGGACGATAGACCACAGCACAGTAGAACAGGTCCTTACGCCCGACTTTAATCAGCTGCAGTTCAAAGGAAGCAAAGTGACCAGAGGTTGTAGAGCTACATGGAGGATGGTCTCTGAAAACAACAGCTAGGCCTCCACCACGACCAGAACCCCGGGGCTGGCTAAGAAAAGAATAACCACTCGGGCAGAGTTCAATCAGAGCAGAATAATCAGATGTTTGCTGCCAAACTTCAGTCAGAAACAGACAATCCAGGTTTTTAGAGAGAATTAGATCATTGAGCAGGAAGGACTTATTGTTAACAGAACGGGTATTTAAAGGGACTTTACGGACTTTTGAATTTTTATGCTCGCAATTGCCCCCTCAGGCCAAAAGCGTAACGGCAGCTTCAATAGAGCTCCGGACGTCACGTGACTCTCAAGCCCTTTTCAGACAGACATTCTGGAACATTTGCGGACAATTCAATCCGGTTTTTAACCGGAACTGTGTTTTCAGACACACCACTTTTGTACCGGAACTTGTCTTTTCGGCTGCGTTCACACAGCAGGGAAAAGTTCCAGATGTCTGATGGCGGCGGGGGGGTGGGGTGGGGGGGAGAATCGGACTCATGTTAAGAAGAAGAAGAAGAAAATATCATTTCTATAGCGCCTCTCAAGATAAAAATCATGAGGCGCTTAAGCATAATTCTGCGCACACGAAGACGCATAAGAGACCTGGATGATGAAGTTCAATGGTTAAATGAATCACTGAAGCGGTGTGAAGTGGTGTGAAGCGCTCCGTCGCGCGTCTAGGCAGTACCGTAGGAGGCGAGCTGCCGTGGTTCGCCGCATGCTACAGGAGCGAGCTATATAGGTGCGCACAGCGTCCCCCAGTCCCCTCCTCCTCCCCCTCCCTCTTGTCCGGAACTTTACCTCACCAGTCTGAAGCAGCCACCCTGTCCGTAACAAGTCCGGACCTGTTACTAGGGGCTTCGTCCGGATAAATTCCGGAACACGTTATCTGGATGTTTGTATTCAGACAAAGGTCATACGGACAGATTCCAGAACATTTCCGTTTTTCATGGCCTGTCTGAAGGGGGCTTCAGAGAGTAGACGCCATGTTGGCAGTAACAAATATAAACAAATTGAACAGGATCGGTTTGGATTTCACTTCGTCGGAGTATACTTCACACTTTAAATACGAAGAAATCGTTTTATATAGTCAGAAATTAAATATATTAAACATCTCGGACACTTACCGTGCCCCTGGGATACTTTTTAAAAACGCCAGAAGCTGTCGGAGCGGACTTCTTACCGGACCTGGCTGGGGAACCCCTTGGGATTCCCCCGGAGGAGCTGGCCCAAGTGGCTGGGGAGAGGGAAGTCTGGGCCTCTCGATGCTACTGCCCCCGCAACCCGACTCCGGATAAGTGGATGAAATGGATGGATGGATGGACA